TTTAAATTATATCATTATAGGCAAAGCATGCTGCACATTCCTTGCTGAAGTCCCATTCTTTCTTTTGAAGACCATGAAATGCATCTCTTATTGATCACCATTCACTCCATTCACAGCAACTTGTGCTTAAATTTAAAGTGATTTACTCCCATCACATGGGAACATACTCCTCTCAGGGCTTCTTTAAACAACAATCCATTTCAGAGTCTTAGAGTCCTCCACTTTCACAAATAGCTTTATAATCCTGTATTTGTTGGAAAACTAGATTGGTCCAGGTAGACTGAAATGTTTCAGCAGCAAAAGAAGGGACTGCTATGCAACCCATCTGTACATAAAGATGCCTGGGTATTAAGGGCATGATCTAGTCAAGTACCACTGATTTCAGCATTAGTGCTAAGTATTGATGGGATCTGAAAAGCATTCAGCTTTGGCTGATTTTACTCACGATTTTTAAGATTTCAAGTTAGCAGAGGTACAACCAGTGAAAATAATTGCACAACAAACCAGGTGAGTCATATGTATCAGGAAGCATAATAAATCAAAGAGCAAATTCACTGAAACACAGGATATGAAGAGCATCATGACGTTCCTGTCAGTTCAATCAGGTCTGTAACGAAAAGGGGTGTTTCGTGGTTTTTTTCTCTAGGAACATTCACAGGTACCTGCTAATCTTAACTGTCATTGTTTCCCTTTAAAATTTTCCTCTAAAGATAAGTCAGTGCAGAAAATGAAAAAGTCCTTCTGTCCTTTATACCTTCTCCCAAGCAACTTTACAACAATTCTGTGAAGTAGACCAGGCAAAGACATCATGGTTTATGCATGATTTTCTAATAAATGTAAGGCTGAGCAAATATTTGACTGAGAGCCTTTCATACTCAAATCAAACACTGTAACCACTACCCTGGGTCTCTTAGGTTTGGGTCACTCCACAAGTGCATGCATACCACTGGATTTCTCAACTCTTGCTCACAGTAACCCTCTGCAGATTACTGCGGTGTGGAAGTAATCATTGCATAGAGAAGGGAAGAAGATGCTGCCCACTGAAGCATCTCCTAACATCCAGACGTTGATCACTTCTTTTGAACAGAAAAAGGCAAGATATATGGTCTGGTTTAGGAGTTCGCACCTGGGTCTAGGAGGTTGTTAACACCTCACTAAGAGAGGCAGTGGTCTCATCCTCTCTGAAGGAGGCTGTGGTAAGACCACTTCTTAAAAACCAAACCTGGACCTGAGGGTTTGCCTTTGTAAATTGCAGGGCAGTTGCGATCATCCCATTTTTGGGCAAGGTGCTCAAGTGGGTGATGACCAAGAAACTCCAGGCACTCCTGAATGAAACTGATTATCAATGGGGCTTTAGGCTGGGGTTTGGGACAGAGATTGCATTGGTTGTCCTGTGGAAAAGGACAGGGGGAATCCATCCTTGTTGGTTCTCCTGGACCTCTCAGTGGCTTTCGACACCATCATCCATGTTGTCCTTCTGGACAGGTTGGTTGGGTTCAGAGTTGGGGCCACTGCATTGTGGTGGTTCCATTCCTACCTGGCCAACCATGTCCAGAAGGTAGTGCTGGGGGACAGTAGCTCTGCAGCATGGCAATTGTGCTGTGGGCTCCCTCAGGGCTCTATCCTGTCCCCATGCTGTTTCATAGCTACATGAAACTGCTGGGAGAGGCCATTCGAAGGTGGGAGCTGAGGTGTCATCAGTATGCTAAAGACACCCAGTTCTACATCTCATTTTCATCTAACCCAGATAAGGTAGCTTCTGTCCTGAATCACTACCTGAGCTCAATAATGGACTGAATGAGGGCCAATCAATTGAAACTCAATCCAGATAAAATTAAAGTGCTGTTGATGGATGATCCATCTGCCCAGAGGGTGGGCCTGCAACCTGGAAGGGATTGCACTCCCCCTGAAGGACAAGGTTTGTAGTTTGGTGGTACTCTGGGACCCAAAACTATTACTTGAGTCTGAGATAGACATGGTGGGCAGTAACACCTTCTTTCAGAGGCATTTAATTTACCAACTGCAGCCCAACCTGGACAGGCAGAGCCTAACCACACACGCACTCTGGTAAATTCTCGGCTTGACTAATGCAATGTGCCTCTGCATGGGGCTGCCCTTGAAGATGGTCTTGAACTTCAACTGGTACAGACTGTGGGTGCAAGCAAGTTCTCACACACATATCACTCTGATATTATATTGGTTACATTGGCTACCAGTTTTGCTCTGGGCCCAATTTATGTGCTAACATATAAAGCTTGGAACCAGGATACCTGAAGGACCACCTGCTCCCATATATATCTACCTGGTTCCTAAGATCTGGTTAGGAGGCCCTTCTGAGAGAGCCATCTTTAAGGAGGCAAAGGGGATGGCAAACAGAAGAGGGGCTTTCTCACTGGCTACACCCCATTTATGGAATGGCCTTCCAAAAGTAGTTTAGCTGACACCATCTTTACAATCTTTTTGGTTCTGGGCAAAAAGAATCCTCTTCACCAGACATTTTAAAAATTGATTCTATATTTGGATATTAGTTATACTGTTTTAGCTTTAATAACTTTTAACTTATTGATATCTGACCTCTGTTTTATTCTTTGTTGTTGTTATTGTTATTTTATGTAATATTCTAATCAAATTAGAGACTCTTTGGACTAGTATAGCAGAATATAAATTAAATAAATAAATATGCACACAGGATCTCCCTGGACAATGTATTTTTGCATTGACTTGATGTGGGGACACGTCCTGCAAAATGCAGAATATATCGGTACACCTTTTACATGCTTAGGCTCTGTGAAGAAGACCAGATCACTGTGTGGGGGTCAGAAGCAGAGAGAACAGGCATAAGTCTGCTCCCAGAAGTGATTATCTGCACTGGATTTTGATAATCAGGAGGAATGTTTCCCAACTGCTCAGTTGAAAGAAAGATCCTTTTGCTTAGGATGCTGCGAGGCAAAAGGCTAGTTCTGCTTGGGGTGTTTTATTGATATTCGCCCCTTGACATGCACAAGTTATCACTAGATGTTGCTGTCATTAAAGTACAAACATGCATGGGTGAAGCCTTATCAAAATGCTGAGCCACGTCTGGGCAGAGAGGCACATTTTGTGAATGCTTGTGTGTCTTCCCTTTCAACCATTGCGGGATGGGGAATAGAAAGTCAACACTCATGTTTGCAGAGTTGCCCCCAATCCAGGAATGTATGTGCATCAGTGTACAGCATATACTTTAGCCTGTGCATTGTTAAAAAAAAAACAGTGTGTGTGTAGGGGGCTTTTTAAAAAGTTACTCATTTAGGATGAAATCATATACCCACTTAGAGAAATAAGTAAGATGTACTTCTGAACAGATGTTTTGGATTGCAATATTACTTCTGTACTTTTTAAGCCAAGCATTTATGTATGAGTATATAGCAGGAACTTTTTAAAGCATCTTTTAACATGGATTAGCATATGCGGCAGGTCATAGCCATCTAGTTTAAAGACAGAATGCCAGCAATGCCTTCTCAAGTTTAAAAACTGTAATGGAAGCAGCAGCAGATCAGTGGAAACAATACTTATGACCAAATGCAGAGTAGGAAAAAAACATGCCCATGAAACAGTGGAAGAGGGATAGCTTTTCTTTTCACTTTTCTACTCTGCAGAACTGCAGTTTTTATGTCAAAAATCAAAGATCATGAAAATTCAATCCAGCACTATATTTTTCTATGATTGCATTAAGTGTATTGTGCAGATCAAGTAGTATGTATGTGATACACACAAGAAGGAATGGGGCAAAGAGAGCTGAGGCTTGTGACAGAAAGCTATTCTCTTTCAAAGAAATGCATTGGTTGCACAATGCGATACGTTTTGTCATGGCTTCAGAGAATTAGTGTCCACGAGAGGCCACTGTAGCATCCCAGGAGACAAGTATACACAGAGATTTTGGAGTAAGTAAAATGTGTCCATCTGTATTGAATTTCCTGTTATTTACTTATTTAAAACATTTCTATGCCGCCCCCATTGCAACAAAGCAACCGTTTTGTCTGTTTTGCAGGATTAAACATGAAACACTTTCATTAATTCCATATATCTCCCCACCCCGCAAAAAAGGCTTATTTAAGTTTCATGATTAACTGAGAGTGGTGCTTAATCATTGTATATGGATAAAAGATTAAAATAATTGCAAATGTTTCTGTTCAGCCCACTATTTTCTGCAATTGTCAGCAAGACAATTGAAAGGAAAAAGGATTCAGAAAGCCATTCCAGTATAGACCAATTTCAAAAGCAAGGTGTGCTAAGTGAAGCACATAAATTTAATTTTCTTGCTGATGATCAACAGATGTGCTGGCTGGCTTTGTATAGCATGGATGGCATCACAGCATATATGAGCAAGGAAGACAATGTAGGTACATTGCTCTTAAATAATAAGATCTTGTGTGGCCTGGACCTAAATTAAATATTGGGAGGAAACATTCCGCATTACAGGCAATGGCTTACTAAGGACATCGAAGTAAACCAAGTTTTGTGCTAACCATAGTTAAGCATCTCTACCATAATTTGAGTTTACAGACTTAGGTAAGCTACTTGTCTGTTTTAATTTGCCATCTCTAAACTACTAAATTTTATAAGTTTATTCTGGTCTACGTTGGACAACAGGATCTTGATGCACAGTAATGACTGGCATGATGCCACATCAATTAGTAACAGTAAACAATCTTTAAACTGTAATTTGACAGCCTGGATTAACAACTCATGGCCAGGTAATGGTGGAAGTGCTAACTGCACTTTCTCCTGCACTCTATTTGGAGAAAATAAATCTCACGTTCTTTCTTTTTTCAAAAATGAACTTTACAAATTCTAAAACATTCGTATCAAAAATGAACACAAATTATCTCCCATCTCTACTTGTTGTCTCTCTCTTCTTCTTAAGTATTGCATTTGGCTCAGAAATACTCCCTGTTTAAATCAGAGTTTCCTATTTTACCCAAATAGATTATATCCCGGCTTAATAGTGTTAGTATACTTACAGTATTTATTTATTTGATTTCTATGCCATCTGATTAGCCACAGGGCAGCTTAGACCAGAATTCCTTGTCTCAGTATGAACCAAAGTGTGTTTGATTTGGGTATCGTGAAAGTCGGCTGAAATAGAACTAAACTTTCCCAGTTTCCTACTTACAGCCCTGACAGAGGAGTGCACGGGCAGCATGACAATCTGTATTTGGCACTAAACTGCAACTTAGCCTTTGGGGGATAAGCCTATCGGTGGCCACTTCTCATGCTGGCTATAGCTGTCTTCCATAATCAGAGGTGGCATGCCTCCAAATACCAGCTGCTTGGGAACAGGCCCAGGAGGATGCCAGTTCACTCACGTGCTGCTCTGGATCTGCATGGATCTGACCAGCCACAACAAGAACAGGCTACTGGAATAAACAGGCCTTTGGTCTAACCATGCGTTCTTATTCTGCGCGTGAATTAGTTTAAGCATGCTCTGTGTGTTAACTTTCTATACAATCAAAATGAAGCCCCAGGTTAAAGAGATGTTTAAGTTAAACTACATATATGTCACCCACACGAATGTTTTCCAGGATGGCTTTCTTTTAAATAAGCAAGAGAAAAGAGTAGGCATTTGTTGGGGGAGGGGCCCTTTGGGAGCCATTTTTCTTATCGAAATCACTCATTCCAAACTGTAATTTGCTCCGTAAGGGAAAAGGGGTGAGTTCATCTTTTTGCTGCCTATGGTTCTGTCAATGTTTCTGCTAAGATTTGTGCTCTCTTTATAATGTGGCAGGGTTGCTGCATGGATTACTCAGGAGGCAGTCTGAAAAGCCTGGCACAGGTATCCCTTGTTTTGTCAACATACATAGTAGTTATTGTCCCCTATAATTAACCACTGAACTAATTACTAAAGTTGATTATCAGTGTTAGATATAAATAACTCTTTATATCTAAAGAGTTCTGGATGAAGTACTGCCTGGAACAATTTTGCCTTCTGAGATGATAAAGAAAATAGCTAACCTCCTATGCTAGGCAAATGTCAGAAAGGACAAATTATATATGTACGTATCCCATGCATGCACGTTGGACACAAGAAATTAACACTGGTAACAATGCAAACTGATGGCACAATCGTCTACAAGTCTACCTAGAAGTCAGTCCTAATGAGGTTACATACATTCAGTTAAGTCATTAAGGACAACAGCCTAAATTGCTTATACAGAATATCTATACTGATGATAAAAAGGAAAAAAAGTGAATCACACTGAAAAACATGAGACCCTCCTGTCTAGCTTTAAGACTCTGGAGAATCAGAGATGTGCTACAGCTTCAGGGAATGCCCTCCCTTTCCCCCTCCTGGTTATATTTGCCCTACCTTCCTTCCTTTCGGAGTGTGCTGTGGCATTCAAGTCAGCAAATGATACCTCCAAAGCATGGACTGAAAATCCACTGCTGATACCTAGAATGAACCAGGACAATGGCTGCATCTGATCAAATGCACATTCGAAGTGTTGAACAGACAATGGCACACATCTTATCTGCCCTGTAAACAAGCAAGTGCTGGGCGGGCAGGGGGGTGGGTGGCGGGGGGGGGGGGGTTAGTTGGTTGGTTGGAGGTGGTGGTTAAATGAGCTCCTAGATTTAACCTTTCACCTTATCTGAATCCAGTCTGTAGCTCTGTAATTTGTATTGCCCAGATCAATTTATTGGAACTGAATGACCTTTTTTTGGCAATGCAATCTGGGCTGGGACTCCAGTGGGGGATGGGAATGTAGAAAGGGTTAAATTGTACCAAGATCCACTATGGGGACCCCATTCAGATTGGGAAATCTGTACTGGAAACTTGTACAAACAAACAAAACAAAAACAACACACAGTGCAGTAAATCACTTTTATTGCACTTTAGTGCAGAATGATGGCACAAGGTACATTAAATCTTTCTTTACCCACAGAATCAGTTAGTGGCAGCCATGTGAGCTGCACCTTCAAAAAGCTTGCATATAATTCATTTTCTCCTACAGCTTCAAGCTTTTGAGAATCTAATGTAAGGGAATTTATTCCTGGACAGTTTATGATGAAAAGATACTATATTAGATGAACCAAAACCTGTTTGGTATGTTATTAAAATGGAATATAGAGAACATATTCTAGCTTTGTTTGTTAGCTTCATAAGGAAGAGCAACAAAGCTCTGAGTCTTTTCTTGCATGCAGCTTGACTCACTGTGGCTTACAGAAGTACAGCTTGTGGGTCTCCTAGTTGTTTTGGCCCACAACTCCCATAATCACTCACCATTCTCTGATAGCTAGGGCTAATAGGAGCTGTAGGTCAAAAAAAAAAAAAAAAAAAAGCCTGGAAGTCAGTGTTAATGACCCATCTGAAGTTCTTGCAGAACAGAATATGGGTGAGAGGGGGTTTTGTAATGCAAAACTTCCCAGCCAACAGAGGTCTGATGCTGTCCAGATAAACACAATTGATGTACAATCAGCTGTAGGCTTCATGCTTGGTACAAAAATACAATTAAAAGACTGCATTCATTTCCGTTAAGAATGCAGTCTCAGCCTCCAAATGGAGATGCAGGACTGCACTACTGGACTGAACAAAGATGCATCGTAACACTGCCAGCATCACCATACAATTATGTAAGAAAAGCTGCTGGCGGGAGGGGAGGCAAATGAGGAAGGCCTCCTGATTGGAGTAGCACAAGTCCAGCATGGCTAAGGAAGTGGTGGGACTTCTGCTGGGATTCTTCCCTCCCCTGACCTTGAAAGGACTGCTCCGTATAGTCTGGTGGGCAAGTGATAATCCTGTAATATTTGCCTGTCTGTGTTTCAAGCAGGCTGTGAAAACCTGAACCAAGATTGACTGGGCATGGAAGAACAGTGCCTTTTCCTGGCACTAATTCTCCATGTGGCAACTATTCTGTCGTGTCCCACCCATCTTCACCGGGGTATGCAGTAAAGGAGACAAGCACTGTTATCCAGAAGCCATTGCAGTTAGAGAGCTGTAAAAACAAATCAATGCATCTTTTGTTTTGCCCTGTCACTGAAGGGGCACTCTTGAAAGAGTGCTCTTATATCCTCTTTATGCAAAACCAGTCCAGGCATTACCAAATGCTGAATCTGGAGGGCTGAGTGCTTTCCATTGACAGCAAAGGCCTGATGTGTGTGGGGCTGTGCATGGAGGGAGCAGGACAAGTCTGCACTCCGTGCCTGGCATTTTGTGATAACGAAGAAGGCTGTAGTCTAACAAACATGCAGGTATTCTGTGAAATCCTGATTGATTTACTTCCTTTGTAAGATAGGCCAAACTGGTGCTTCTGGGGTTGATAGCAAGAGGCCCTGCAAGGCTGTGCATACACCCTGCGCAGCATTTTCCTGGCATGCTCTCACATCCATCTGTGCTGACCTGGTCTCTCTCTTTCTCTCTCTCTCTCTCTCTCTCTCTCTCTCTCACACACACACACACACTTTTCTCCCCTCCTCCTTTGCCTTGTTCTTCCTTTCCATCTTGATGCATTTTCTTGCCCTGCCCAGTGGTCATTTGCTTCACTACTCTTCTTCCTCTTACAGGCACGAGCCCCTTCTGAAGTTCTCATTTTTAGAAGAGTTTGAACATGCTGCAGAGTGAAGCTGCATGCCCTGAGGAATTGGAGATGCCACTGCAAAATGCCTGACCTTCCCCCCAAGGATGGAAGGAGCATCGGTAGGGAGCTGGTGGGAATGGGAGAGTGAGATTGCATTCGGAGTCCTCTGAGCTGTGGGCCCTCATACCTCTTCCTTGGGGTCCCACCTCAGCAGTACCACTAAGTGGAGAGGAAGATCCACCCACACCTGTGATGTAAAGTTCTATTATTGCTGCCAGTCCTGACTTCCAGTGTCCATCTCTTTGGAGTTCTTTCTCGTTTTCCTTTTGCCAATGCATTTTCAAGATTTATTTGGAAGTCCCCCACAGGCAACTGAACACGGATTCTTCCACAATTGCTTGCCTCGATGGCTAAATGGAAAGCCCATGCTGAGCCAGAGGCAGCTGCTTCTGGCTACCAGTCATGCTGAGGGGCAAGCAGCAGGAGAGAGCCATTGTCCTCCAACCCTGCTTGCAGGCTGTCTGAACACATCTGGCTGATCACTGCAGGAAATGGATGCTGCACTAGACAGACCTTTGGTCTGACCCAGCAGGCCTCTTGCACACATATTTAATGTGAATAAGCTTATTACATATCCTCAGTCCAAGAAAAATACAAGCTTGTAGGACAAGCCAGTATGCAGCCTTTTGAGGATTCCTAGACTAAAGTGTCCTAAAAGCCTTTAAACTCTTTCACTCACCTACAGAAACATAATAGTCTCACATTCCTAAATTCTAATGCTCAGGGCCACAAAGAGATATTCCCACTAATTCTGCTTAACTACACAGTTAGGAAGATCTCTCTACAATTCCTATTCTAAAGATGATGAAGCAGGGATGAGTGGCTTATCAAAAGCCAGTTGATTGCTTAATGAAGCTGCTATTTGAATCCACAGTGCATAATCCAGGAAATGTTAAGCACTTTGAAGTTCCATTTATTTCATTGGGAAGACATTTAAGCGTATGCTTAAGGCTTCCATTAATCTAATCTGGGCCATGCCTAGGGCTGATGAAGCCAAAGTCAAAAATATGTGCTGGAAGACACAGAGGGCCAATAGTCTGCTTTCATTTACATACTTTAGTACATTTATATTGCATCTTCCATCACTGAACTCAAGACTGCAAACATGAAGCTCTCAAGTGGTCTCCCATCCAGGTAGTGACCAGACCTAAAACAGCTTTTTAAACTATTATATCTATAACCCACATTTTCCCCTGTAAGAACCTGGCAGAGAATCCCAAGGAACATAGGACATACTGAATTTCCTACAGAGATTTTAGATGTGCCTGCAGAAGCTCCAGGAAGTTCTCCATCTCCCGGCCCACTCACAGGTGAGTGTGTCAGCTGGATGAGCCTTTTGAGCTCTAAGTAGGAAAAAAAGAGGAACAGAAAGATATGAATGCCTCTACCACTCCTCCTGCTTCCCTGGAGAGGCAGCACAAGAAGAGACAGACTTATCAATCCTTAATGCCAATGCTGCACTCCCTTAAGAATCAGAAACATTAGTCTGTGTTCTTACAACTTGGGGAAAACCACTTTTGATGGCAAATCAAGCCTATGTGCTTGATTTTCTCTCTGATCACACCGTTCTATTGAACTGACCTCAAATCTTTGATCACAATGTAGACTCTAATAAGCCCACATGAAAACCTGTCATCAAGGAACCTGCCTCAGTCTTCTTGAGATAACAGGAAAGCCATTCCTGTAGCTTTCAGGATCATTTTTCAGGAAAGTGCACCGCAGACACCCGTCTTTTTCTTCTTCCAGTAACCTCTTCCATTTGACATGATCCTCATTTAAAAATTAGAATGCAAGCCTTTTAAATATTCTTATACTTCTTAAACTGGGGATGAAACATGAGACCAACAGCTAAATTAAAAAACACATCAGATAACATGTTTCTACTTAACAGTACTTTTCATATTCTCTCAGTTTCTCTTTCATGCAAGGTGTTTCGCTTCTCCACCTACTTACTCTTTCAAGTAAGCATAATGGAATAGATCATATTTCTTTTCTCAGATGAAACCATCATGAAGAAGGCTGGCCACACTGAACAATTTGGAAACCCATGTTGTTATCACAGGTGGGTTGTTATCACAAGTGTGTGGGTGTATCATACAACAGGAACTGCGTCACCATGGGTTGCTTGTTTCTTTTAAACAACCCCCCTGCACTGCCCATAGGCTGTTCTATGGTTGTTAATAACCAATTTACTCAGCCACATGGAAACTGAGCTTAATCTGGGACATGAATGAACCTCTTCCCCAGGCCACTTTGAAGTTACATGGAACCAGAAGGCTATGATCAGAGCTCTTGAGATGCTGTGGATTCTTGTTTT